CCAGACTCGACTATGCAAACCCCCTGCTTGTCGGCCTTTCCAACTCCTCCCTCCACAGCTGCAGATAATCCAGAACTCTGCAGCCCGTGTCCTCTCCCGCACCAAATTCCGTGACCCCATCTCCCCCACTCTCGCCCGACTCCATTGGCTCCCTATCCTTCAGAGGATCCAGTTCAAGATCCTGGTCCTCACCTACAAAGCCTTCCATGGCCTCGCCTCACCCACGCCTCTGTGACCTCCTAATCCTCTACCAACCCGCCCGTTCCCTCCGCTCAGCCGGCTCCGGCCAGGTCCATGTCACCCCCACCTGCTCCACCATTGGCGTGAGAGCCTTCAGCCACTCTGCCCCCGACCTCTGGAATTCCATTCCCCAATCACTCCGCCTCACCCCCTCCTTAGCCTCTTTCAAGTCCCGGCTCAAGAACCTCCTCTTTGACCATGCCATCGGCCACCCCCCTTCTCCTCTCCCAGCTCGAATCTGAAATGCTGTACACTGTCTAGTGCCTTGGGTCCTCCCGACGTAAAAGGTGTTATACAAATGTAATCTTGTTGTTGTCTGGTAGATTGTCCTCTTGGTGAGATGTTTCCCAATGGGCAGCAAGTTGCCTTGTAGGGAATTAAACTGAATTGCTTTGTGATCAACGTTTTTTTGGTCCTATAGGTGTCTGACCTGCAGCAACCTAAGACCATTCCCTGTGTGGAATGGGATACTCACTCTCCCTCCAACAAAGATAGCTTTCCGCAGCGCTGCACTAAGTGGGGGTCAGATGCTGAGCAAGCGAGAAGATGGAAGTTACCATAGAAATGATCAATGAGCTAGGTCTTAAGGTGAGAATTAAAGATAAGAGGAAAAGCGGAGAGATTGAGATAGAGTTTGAGTGTAGTGACTGAAGGCACAGCCACCGATCATGAGTACAGCCTCCAACCTCTGGAATTCCATCCCCCAATCACTCCGCCTCGCCCCCTCCTTAGGCTCCTTCAAGTCCCGCCTCAAAACCCTCCTCTTCGACCATGCCATCGGCCACCCCCTTCCCCGTCCCTCCCTCCTCCCCCCCTGACCCCAGGTAGGGTCTGAAATGCTGTACACTGTCCAGCGCTTTGGGACGTCCTTCCAACGTGAAAGGCGCTATACGAAGGTAATCTTGTTATTGTTGTTGTTTACCAGCAGTAAGTAGGAACCCAGTTAGTCAATTGGCGGATCGTTTTCTGGGGGTAATAATCCCTTAAAAAAAGTGGTCACTCAATCCATGACTGGTTGTGGGTCGCTGCTGTGAGCAATTGGCTGCCCATTTCACCCACAAAATATACAGTCAATTCACTTTATGGTATATTCTGTGAAGCGTTTAGAGACGTCTGAACAGTCCATGAGACGATAAGGCGCTATATAAATGCAAGGATTATTATTATTATTCAGGACTTTGAGCTCACAGTCCAGGCTGACTTTCCAGTGCAGTGCTATCTTTTGGATTAGATACTAGATTGAGGACACATGTTTGTTGAGGTGGACGTTAAAGACCTCTTGGCACTGTTCAAAAAGGTACAATTGGTCAATCACTGCATAGTTGTTTGTTGGACATTGCTGTTTACAAATTGGCTGCCTGGTTAGCCTACAAAATACACAGTCACTACACTTTACAGTAGCATCCTGTGAAATGCTTTGAGTCATTTCAACGTCATCTGGTATCCTGTAGCTCAGTGGTTAGAGCACTCGCCTTGCAAGCGAAGAGACCTGGGTTCGATTCCCGGCAGGGCGAAACCTTGGGCAAGTTTCCTTACTCCACACGCCTAATAATAATCCCTCAAAAAAATAATAAATTGGTCACTTCAATCCACAGCTGGTTGTGGGACTCTATTGTGCGCAATTGGCTGCCACATTTCATCCACAAATATACAATCAATTCACTTTACAGTCTATTCTGTGAAGCACTTTGAGAAGTCGAGAAGCCGTAAAAAGCGTTATATCAGATGCAAGGATTATTATTATTATCATGGGCTGTACATCAAATGCCAAGGATTATGATATTATTACCTAAAATATAATTAGACAATTAAAATGTGCACGTCATTTGCACAGCAACATGAGACTAATCCAGCATTCCTGGGTTGGAATGGTTAAAATATTCACTCTCCAAGGAGGATCCTTCTCTTGTGCAGACCTATAATAGGATGCCACCTCGTGGTCATATTCACACATTAATCCAATGCATCCAAGATAAAAACAGAAGCCGCTGGGAACACTCAGCAGGTCGGGCAGCATCTATGGAGAGAGGAAAGTGAGTTAAAGTTTCAGGTCGATGACCAGCATCTGTAGTATTTTGCCTTTTGTCCAATGCATCCAAATATCATTAGTGGAGTGAGCAAAACTCACTCCCGGAATCTGTGCTTGAAGCGGGAAGCATCAATGTGTTTAAGAGGAAACTTGAAGTATACATGAGGGTGAAGGGAATGGACGGGGATAGGAGAGGGTTATAAGAGTGTAGGGGCTTGAGTGGTGTACAATATTAGTAACTTGTGTATTTGGTGTTGCATCTTATCACGACGGACGGATGTCTCAAAGCGCTTCGCAGGATTTACTGTGCGGAAGGGTGATTGAGGCCAGGATACTGGACTCGTTGAAGAAACAGTTTGATGCTCGGAGGGTGGCGGTACTCTAGAAGGATAAGATCAAATGGACCGAAAAGCCTTCTTCATCCGAGCCAATCCTGCGATTTTGTGAATTGCTGTTAAGGGTAGTGACCGAAGGCAAACTAATTGTCAACCAATCATGTATGCATAGCGGTGTCCCACAAACAGCCATTAATTTTATTTGGGGGATTGTTGACCAGGATATGGGGAGAAACTCCTGTCTCTTTTCAAATAGTGGCTTGTACTTCCACCTGAACAGGAAGACATCTCATCTCCGACAATGTAGTGCTCCCCTGCCCCATTACTGCATGAAGTGTCAGCCTGGACTGTTCAAAATTCCACCATGGGTTACATAACCTTTTTACTCAGAAATGACAGTGCCACTGATTGAGCCAGGCTGACACCTGATAGATTAAGTTACTCCCTTCTGTGACATCCTGATATACTGGATCATATTTTGCTACTAAAAGTCTGACATTCCTTAAATTCGGGGGCATATGCTGTTTTAGATCAATTTGATATTTCATGAGAAACTTGCTTTGAAGAGATGCCAGATGCATTCTTGATATTTTTCTTTGAAAAATGTGGGCCAAGGTTTTATCTGCAACCTTGATTCTGAAGTCTGTGTTTGTACATCGAACAATCATCAATTGTGTCCCTGTTGTACAATTGAGCGAATTCAACCCGGTATCTACAGAGCCCTGTATCCACGCCAATACCCAGTGTGAAGGGTGATAAACACAAGTTGTTGTTTTTGTCCGCTCCCTCCGTTCAGCGGGCTCTGGTCTGCTCCATGTCTCCCGGCCGACCCGCCCTACCATCGGTGTCCGGGCTTTCAGCCTCTTTGCCCCCACACTCTGGAACTCCATCCCACGGTCCCTTCGCCTCGCTTCCTCCCTCGCCTCCTTCAAGGTCGGTCTCAAGACTCTTCTCTTGGACCGTGCCTTTGGTCTCCCTTCCACCTCTCTGCCTTCCCTCACCCCTCTCCCATGCTCGGGCCCCGACATCTGACTGTTCAGCGCTTTTGGACGTCCTCTCGACGTGAAAGGCGCTCTATAAATGTAATTTTGTTGTTGTTTTTGTCACCTGTGGGTGCTTGACACCTGCGGAAACCCGTCACCATGCTTAAGTGTACATCCTTCCACATTTCATATAGCACCGCATCACATTGTTCAGTTGTCTCAAAGCTCTTCAGAGTATATTGGAAGTGGATTGACTATGTATTTTGTGGGAGAAAAAAAGTCGTGGATTGAATAGCCAAATTTTCTTTGAGGGATCATTACCTGCGGAAAGTGAACTGCCAATTGACTAACAACAATTGTTTACAGTTGTCTGTTGAAGTTAGGAAAGTCTTGTATAACCTGTTACAGTTCACAGTATGTTTTACACTTAACTATAGATGTGTAAAATGTCTGCTTGTTGTCCACTGTGGCTGACTTTAGCATAGCCTCTTTCAACCTGGTGCTTTTCCAATGAATGTTCCCTGGCTGCCATGATTACACAGGTCCAAGTGAACAGAAACTCCTATGACAGCTCATTTGCAGTGAATTTAGAGAGTTTTTGACACATTTTATTCAGAGAGGAAAAGAACAGATTTGTAAATAATGAACGAGGGAAACAAGTAGCTTTCATTTTTGTTTGCTGGTGAGTGGTTCAAATCCTTACAAGATCATTCTAGTTTATTAACATTGAAATTTAACATTGACATAGGAACAGGAGTAAGCCATTCAGTCCCTTGAACTTGTTCCACCATTCTATTAAGCCAAGACTGATCTGCATCTCAACTCAATTCAAATCAAAAAATCAACAACCTGTTTCTTGAAATAAACGAGGGAAAATTCTCAGCTGTAAAAAAATAAAAACCGACCTGTGCTGGGATTTTGGAGGTCAGCTAAGAGCGTATATGATTATAATAATAATACTTTGAACTGCAAACTTTTCACACGAGTCCGCTAAATTTATTCTACAAGAATCCAATTAAAGTGCAGATATCATGAAGGATCTTTATTCAAAATACTAACGCGTCAGATTATATTTTAAAATGTGAAATTAAACCTTAGTTAAGCGCTGGATTGCTGACGAAAATTGCTGCATTCGCCAAATTCCAATATGCGAAATGTGTACACGTACATTTTCTAGGATTGTACAGGATGTTCACAAAGTCCTGTTACCCCCCATGTTTTTTCTTACAATGAATGTTTATTTCAGTGGCAGATGAGTCGAGTGTAGCAATGTCTGATCCCTCCTCACTGACTCCATGTTACGGAAGATTTGGTACCAAAGATGACAACAGATCATTATCTGCCATGAAAATGCTGGCGCTCACCCACACACACACACACCCATTCTCTGGACGGCTAAATACAGTTAAACACTTGTACTGAATACAATGGAGTAACTTCTAAATACAATTATCATCATTCTTACACATTTCATCTATTGGTCAGTGCTCTGTAGAGAAAAAAAACACATTGGGGTGGTGGAGTGGGGAACAGGACTTTGTGGACACCCTGTACAAACTTTCACACCTCACTGATGGTAAGCTCTCAACATGTGGACACCCAAACACATTAACATTTTGTCCGTTAGTGATGGAGGAAGTCAAATCTCGGTTGAGATCCACCTGGTCCATGGGAGCTTTAATACAGTGAAAGTCACAATTCGGAATTACAAACGGGGAAGGGAGGAGTTGGGGACGGTGGAAGCAATCACAAAGCCACTGGGCACGCTGGAAGGATTTACACTCGGGAATGGGTTTGGAAAGGGGTTTGAGTGTTCGAGGCCCCTGTGGAGTTCCGGAAGCAGTGTGGTAAATCCCGGGCTGGTCGCTATGTTGAGTTCCAGGGTTTTCTGAGCTCAGTGAGGGATGGGCGTGATCCTCATGCCCTGGGAGGCGATGGCATAACTGACCATGGGGGTGGTGGTGTGGCTCATGGTGATGCCGGCGATGGGCTGCGAGATGGTGACGGCCACTGGGGTGACGGACACCGTGACGGGCGCCATGGAGACGGTGGGTGCCAGACCTTGAGCCAGGGTCTGCGCCAGGGCCGCGGGGAGCGACGACATGTCGGGGTTGGCGGGGGGCACGGCGGGCGAGGCCGAGGCCACCAGCTCTTGCTGGGAGATGGCTCGCGGCTGGAGGCCCTGGGCCCCCAGGGCCGTGTGCGTCTGCACGATGCTGTGGTTGTAGTTGGTGACGGTGCCCACGGTGGGTGGGTCGGCTGGACCCGAGGTCAGCGTCACCACCTTGGTCTGGTTGCGGAACTGAGCGTTCTGCTCCAGGAGGATCTCGTTGGTGGCCATCAGGTTGGACGCCTGCTTCTTCAGCTCCTCAATGCGGTTCCTCAGCATCAGATTCTCCTCCTCCAGGAACCTCCAGTCCGCCAGGTAAGGACGTGGCATCCCGTAGTCGTACGCCTCGAAGCGCATGCTCTCCACCCGCCTCCGCTTCAGGATGTGGGCGTACTCCTCGTACCGCTCGCTCTCGTACAGGTCGCTGTGCGGGTCGTAGCGACGCACCGAGGGGGAGTAGACCTGGTCCCACGACAAGCAGGTCGCGCTCTCGTGCTCGTGGCGGAACTTGCACTTGGATCCTCTCTGGCACTCGCCCTTCGAATGGTCCCAGCAGACGGGAATCCCCACTTTGCTGACGAGCCGGTCGTCGGAGGAAGAGGAGGAGGAGGGGGAGGAGGAGGTCTCGGACGCACCGTTGACCTCCGGGTGGTGGAACTTGCAGCGTTTCCCGCGCTTGCACACATTGCGCAGGAAGTCTCGGCAGATGTCGCCGGAGCCCGGGCCGGTTTCGTCCCCGCCGCCACTGCTCGCCGCGTTATCCTTTTCCGGCATTTTTCCAGTCAGTTGGCAACGAGAGTTCAATCCTCGTCGCTTGACCTCAAGTAAGGTTGGAAGGTCAACAGCTGGAAGAGATAAAAAAAAATCATAGATGTCGAGAGACGCGATAAGAGGCAAAGCTGTTCACCCCCCGCGAGACGGTTCCCCAATTTAATGATCGCAGTGAGTGACGAGGCCCTTATCACAGCCTCAAGACGTTTCAAAGAGGTCGAAAGGATTTACTGTAAAGTGCAGCAACTG